TATTGTTATTTAATTTATAAATAAAGATGAAAATAACAGATAAAAAGAAATAGGAGATTAAGAAAACTGCTTAAAAGTATTTTTGTTAGAGAAAAACTAATAAGAATAATTTTATTGAAGTATAGCTATTAAAAAATTGTAATTGAAGAATATATTTTTTTTAAAAAAATACTCTTTCTTTTAAAAATATTTTATAATTTTTTTTTAAAAAAATATCATTTAAGATAATTATTATAAATTTTATATTATTCTATTATTAACGTAATTTCAGTGTTAGTTTAATTCAATGGGCAAATTAATGCCACGTACATTTAAAATTAAAATAAAGGTGTAATTTAAAATTTATTTATACTTTATGACGTGGGACTTTAATAAAATTGTTGAAAGTTGAAACTGAAAAGACAGGCAACAAAAACAAAGACATTTAAAAGAAATAGTTTTCTTTTGATATTTTAATGTGATTATTTTATAATAGTTCGATCATAAATTTAAATTTTATTATAAATATATTTGAATACAAGTTGAAATTGGGTTTATATTTTTTTATTAAAAGTAAGAAATGCTTTTTTAGTAGAAATTTTCTAAATTAAATACTCTTAAATTTGTATTTAAATAAATCTATATCATTCAATTTTTTAATGATTACATATGAGCTAGAAAAAGACAAAAAATAAAAAAAGAATTATTATAACATTTGATTTCTGACTAGATGCTGAAATGTTTGTTTTTTAAGAAAAAATGCACTGAAATTCTCTTAAAAGGTCATTTCTTTTTAAAATATCTCAAGGACAATGACAATTGACAACTGGAGGGATTCAAGACTAGTGAATTACACTTGTATTCAAATCCCTCGCAAGGAACCCTTACTTACTCTTGGAGTGTTGGGTTTCCTCCCTTACTTACTCCGCACCGTTCTTCAATTCCCTTCCCTCTCGTTGAAAGTTGCTCGTTGTTGGTTCTTAGTTCACACATTTCCCCTCCTTTATTCTATTTCTCAATTTTTGGTCATTTATTTTCTTCATATGCATTATTCGTTACCTGAGAGATTCTATTTTCTTCAATCCTTCATTCATTTCAATGGCGGTAGGGTTTCATCTGCTCGCTCCAAACTCCAAATGGGAACATGAATCTCTCCTTAGTGCCATCTTTGGATTTTCGCCTCGTTCCTCTGTCGTGCTGCACCTCTCGCTTTGAATTTCATTGAAACCCGAGGTACGATTTTCCTTTCATTGTACAAGGCTTTTCACTCTGTTTTCCGATTATTATTGATTTTTTCCTTCAATATTCTCTAATCATGATTATTTATTTCTCTTTTCCTAGTTGGAGTTTTGTTGCTGATTTATTTGGTATTCTGATATTTAATTTTAATTCTTACTTTGAAAAATCATAAACATTGGTAAAAAACTGAATCTGAATTATTTAATGTTCGTTAGTGGTAGTAGTCATTCTGTTATTTGGCTTGCACTTTTCTTTCCTTTGGGAGATTTATCAGAACAAGTCATTTTATGATAGATGCCAATTTTTGATTTATC